CAATGTAGAAGAGCTGAAGGCTGCTATTGAAGCATCCTGGTCTTCCATGACACCTCAGCAATGCCACAGGAATGATAGCTTCCATGCCACGCCACACTAAGGCAGTAATTGCTGCAAAAGGGGCCCAAACCAAGTACTGAGTACTTCCTTATACATGCTTATACTTTTCAGAGATCTGATATTGTTCTATTTACAATCCTTGTTTTATTGATTGCATGTAATATTCTAAATTTCTGAGATTGTGGATTTGGGGTTTTCATGAGCTGTAAGCCATAATCATCACAATTATGACAAATCACAGCTTGAACTATCTTGCTTTGTATGTAATGAGTCTATCTCATATATTAGTTTCACCTTTTAAGTTGCATTACTGAAATAAATGAACTTTTGCATGATATTCTAATTTTTTGAGTTTCACCTGTGTGTGAGTGTGTGTGTGTGTTTATACATACATACACACACATACACACGCACATACACACACATACATACATATGTTTTTGTAGATTTTCACGGGTGTAAGTATGCTGGTCTTGTTGTATTTGGGTCTTTTCCCGTGTAAGATTGTTAGGGAAAAGACCTAAATACAACAAGACCAGCATATAATACTGTAATGGGCCCTATTCTTGCAAAGGTGGGTGATCCTAGCTTCAGATATGATTTATGGATGATTTTTTTACGTGAACTGATAAAACTATTTGAGAATGCATTTGTTCATCTAGCAATGTTAATTCTTACATTTATGTTTCTTTTAAACAATTTTAATTTTTGCATTGTTTATCATCCTGAATCCTGAAATTTGTATAAAAACACATCCTGAAGTATCTATGCTGGAAGAATGAAATGTAATTTCATACACTGTATGTCTGTATGAATTTATACTTTTGGTCATGGTTTCAGATCTAGGGTATGCAGTTGAGATTATCAGATTTGTTTTCTTTCTTTGAACTCCTTAAAAAGTTCCTTAAAAGTGGTCAGATAGGTTCAGAGATCTCCTAAAATGATCTAATAGAGTCTGAATAACTGAAGGCGTGCTATGAAGTTATGAGGCTGCTATCCAATTTAATGAAAAACTTTTATGAAGCATGATACATTTTGCTTGAATAAGAATAGCAATTTAGAAATTAAAGCTATTTTATTATTAGATGATGTAAACTTTCATATTCACACAATTATTTGCAATCTTAAGTGATAGCTTCTTCCTGAGAAAGGCAACTCAAAACAGTTAATAACTGTTAATCTGTTATATTATTTCTTCTTAAAACTAGTCTGTTTTTTATTTCCAGGTACATGAATACCTCAGAAGTAAACTTTGTTCGCTCTATGAAAATGACTGCATTTTTGACAAATTTGAGTGCTGCTGGAATGGGTCGGATAGGCAAGTTTCAACTTTTTCTTCTTCTTTTAACATTTTTGTACTAATTGACAGTTAAAACTTCTTTTCAACTGAATGTCTCGGAAGCTTGGTTGCATGCTTGCATTGTGTTTGGAAATGATTTCTAGAAAAGAAAAGAGGATAGCCAAATAAAAGAATTAGCTGAATTATTTTTGTTATTATTTTGGTATCCAGTGAATCATCTAATGAGTTGGTTTATGTTTTATGTTTAAACCTATGCAATAATCTATTGTTTGTTGGTGACGGACTGGGTTTTTTTTCTTTCTCTTTGCTATGTTTATTTAATCTTTATTTACCTACTAACATATGGAAAGAGCAGGGAGAGCTGCTCGAAGTTTGGCTTGGGGCCTCTGATGCTTTGTGAATTCCAGATGAAATTGTATTAACCAATCCCAATCTTAGGTTATCCAGGCAGAATGGAATGCAATTATATAACCTTAACCCAAGGTCAGATCATTGGTTCATTTAGTCTAGTAATTACATGCTGTATGAAGCAATTGATGCTGCCTGGTCTTATGAACTGGGGATCCTAAGGATTGGATCTTCCTGCAAATACAGTTTACACTCTCCTAATATACATCAATTTTCTTCCTACAATAAATAATTACTGCATTGGTTGTAGTTGATGTTCTTTATACTGCTTAGACTAACCTTGATAAAGCAGTGTATAACTTTAAAAACAAACCGTAACAGAACTTAATATACAAATTGCTAATATTTCTGCCTTAGTTAGATCAGCAGTGTCTAAATTTATTTATTTATTAATTACACATACACACCCAGTATATATATAAAATATATATTTAAGCATTGCCGATCTCACTATCAAAATTTGCAGCTTACAGAAAAAAAGTCAAAATTATATAAAAGATACAGTTAACACAGAATAAAAATCAGTTGGCAGATTTTTAAAATTATATTTTACTATCCATTTGCTTTTTAGTTAGCTGCCTGCAAGAACCTCAGTCTAAAGAAATTGGGAACTGAAGGGGAAAAACGTAATCATTATGCCCCCATTTTCCTGATTAAAAACTGCTTGATGAAATTGTCAGTAGTCAAAATCTCTTAAATCTCAGATTCCAGTTCTGAAGAATTTCAATATATAAAGTGACAACTCTGGGCCTGTTTTTTTTCCCCCAAAAGAGATTTTATATTTGCAACCAAAATATCTAAAATACTCCATTTATTTCTGCATGTACGTCATAATTAATAATGTATTACAAATGTTTTAAATCAAACAGACTGGATAAATTAAAGAAGTCCCATTAGTGTAACATTTCTAGTAGCTTCCTCCCATCCACCATCTGTCAAATCAAGTACCACCAGGTTAAAAGCCAAATGATCGAAGGTTTCGAGGATCAGAAACACAACGTCTCTTTTTCTCCTCTTTGTCTACAGCGTCGTCATGACTGGCTCCTACAACAACTTCTTCCGAATGTTCGATAGAAACACCAAGCGGGATGTTACATTAGAAGCCTCTCGGGAAAACAATAAGCCTCGTACGGTTTTGAAACCCCGTAAAGTCTGTGCGAGCGGCAAACGGAAGAAGGACGAGATAAGCGTTGATAGTTTAGACTTCAACAAGAAGATCCTCCACACAGCCTGGCACCCCAAGGAAAACATAATTGCTGTAGCCACTACAAACAACTTGTATATATTTCAAGATAAAGGGATTTAGGGTAGTGGTCTGATCAGAAGAGTTCACTTCCTGTCTAGCTCAGATAGGTGAACTTAGCATTTGTAAACAATATAGGGGAAGAAATGGAGCCAGAGAGAGAGAAGTTCGTTGCGGTGCACCTTCCCCAGTGTTTAAACAATGTGCCATAGTGACAACCCATTTTTTCTAGATAGCTACATGGATGGTCTCTCTCTCTCTCCCTCCCTCCCTCCCTCTCTTTGTCTCTCTCTGTCTTTCTCTGTCTCTCCCTCCCTCCCTCTCTCTCTTTTTCTGTCTTTGCTGGGCAGTTCTCCACTAGCCATTTAGGTGGGGGGTAGGGCACTTTTTAACATAAAATGACTACTTGCACCATCTCACCAAATGGACTAGAGATTGGATCGTTGTCAACATTGGGTTCCTCCAATTTTTTATGCCTTTCATTGTGATGACGTCAGCCACAGAGCAAAGCCTTCAAGTAATGCTGTGGGATTTCATTGTGTAACCTCATTACTGTATTATTTGTGCCCCCTCCCCCCTTTTTTAATTAAATAACAGCTTGTTCTTGCTGTGGCTTGTAGCATTCCTCTTATGTCTCCTGGACTCCTTCTCCCTTTTACAATCCCTTTCTCCAGCCCTATGGTGGCGGCAGTGGTATCTAGAGAAGAAGAAGAAGAAAAATGAAAAGCACATTAAATGGATCAGTGGTCAAAGTGGGGGGGAAGAATCTCTTGCAAAGAGTAAAATGTTTTAATGAAATGTTGACTGCAATCACTCCTTGACATGTCTGGCGCTAAAAATGAAAAAGGAAAAAAACCTAAGGGGGGGAAATATACTGAATAAAAATGTCGAATAATGGTGAATTGTTTTTTTTCTTTTCAATCTACCTCTTTATATTAAATTGTTTTTTTTAAGTTAGATACATGATAAAAATGGTTTGATAATGATTTTAACCAGTATTAATTTTCATGAGGAAAGGGAGAAGGTTTTTTTTTAATGACTTATATATGAAATTGTTAAAGACACTTTAATATTTATCTGCAGTTTCCATTAAAAAAAACTTTTTGGAACACTCTTGGATTCTGCCATAAGCTTGAATAGTAATTGTCTTATTTGTCTTATGTCACCTCCAGTTTGAGCCTTCTCCCTTTCTTCTTTATTAACAGAATTTTGTCAGAATTGGGGAGGGTCTGAATTTTGTAGAATAGCGTTAAAAGTTTTATGGGGCTAAACTTTTTCATGTGTTAATCCCTTTGTCCTAATTTCAGTGAATGCCTTGTTTCAGATTCAGACTCGCACAACAGTGCTTTCCTTTCCTTTCTGGAAAAAAAAGAATTAAAGTTTCTTGTTTTTAAAAAGTATGTCGTACAAAATTTAATACGAAGTGATTTGATTAGATAAAAACCATTGCATGCCTGACAACCCCAATACTTATGTATTTTTATTGCTACTAGGAACTTGAATGGAATTGTAGTTTGACCTTACAAACATTCCTCTTGTAGTTTTTTTTAAAAAAACACTTGCTATTACAGGATTTAGAAAAAAAGTTACAGAGATTAAAAAAAAAATGATTCAGGTCTCCAGTAGATCCAATAGTAGATGTTTCCATACCATTTAAAATATTTATGCACCATTTTTAGCTCTCATATATTCTCCATGTTTAGGTAAATTTCCCAAACTTTCCATAATCTCTATTGTATTCCCAATCTAAAGACAGCACCACTGAAAGCTACTAGCCTTCCTTTTAGCAATAGCAGTAAGACTTATATACCACTTCATAGTGCTTTACAGCCCTCTCTAAGCAATTTACACAGCCAGCATACGGCTCCCAATAATCTGGGTCCTCATTTTACCGAACGTGGAAGGATGAAAGGCTGGGTCAACCTTGAGCCATTCAGGATTGAACTGCTGGTTGTGGGTAGAGCCTGCCTGCAATACTCCATTCTAACCACTGCGCCACCACAGCTCTTCTATATATTTTTAACAATATAATCCAGGCCACTAGTTTTCAAATGAGGACTGTATATTTATTAGTTTCAGGAGCTATAGGCTTGAATGCAAGACTGGTGGTGATATTATGAAGTCCCTTTAATGGGCTGGAACAATTTCACGTTTTTATTTTGAGGAATAACACTGATTGTTTTACTACGTGGTACAACATGCCTGGTTGAAGGCTTAGCTGGATGCTTTTTATATTCCTTGATTTATTTCTGGAAACTAATAGAAAATCACACTAGCTAATATTGTGTGGTCATTCTTGTCATTTTCTCTTTTGAATTAAAGATACCAGGAATTCGTTCTAGGACCTTTTGTATGTCAGATAGGTCCTCTGCCATTAAGATTGCCCCACCACTGAGGAAAAGAGTGCTAGCCTACAATGTGTGGTTTCTAATCTCATACACAAAACAGGTATGTGAGCACAGCAAAATCTGAATGATTATCCCCACTCCAAAATGAATCATTTTGGATGGTTGCCAGACCCTTTTGGCTCCATCTGAAATGACCATGGGAATGCATTCCCAAAATCTATTTGCAATGCAAAGTGGGTGAGAAGGGACCATTTTGTCCAAAAGATTTTCAGAAATTTAACAAAGTACTTGTGCAAGCCTTTCAGGGAAAAAAAGCCAGACACACAAATGTTGTAGAGAACTATACAACTGACTCATTCCACGTTCTGCACTATACAGCTCGAAACCACTCCTGGGGAAAACACTTATTAGCCTGAGGGATCTGTAGGCATGACCCATGGGGAGGAATCATTCTGATCACCTGAGATGAGATCATCATCATTCCTCAAACATGTATGAAAGGAGCAAAACAACACCTGGTTTACAATCTTAAAAAATAAAAAGAGGGCGTGTGGAATTTTGTATATGCTTGGAGTTGAAATAAAATGAAAGAAACAGCCTTATGTACTGTTTTATATGTTCAACAGGTACAGTTCTATTTTCAGTAGTGCTGAATACCAGTTCCAGTAAGTTGCTGCATACATACTCATGAGCTGGCTAAGCAAGGTTTAATTATCTATGCAAGGAAAAAATTTTGTGCCCACATGTGCTGTCCATTTGTTATTTGGAACAACTCAGGATGTTCAATTTTAAACTATTTTAATAGTCAAACCTTTTTTCCCGAAATTGGTAGATATAGGAATTACGGTTATTTGGAAATTATTGACTGGGCTCATGCCAACATGAAGAAAAAAGAATAAGTGTGGGGGGAAAGACTTGTTAATATGTTGGACTGTTGAGATAAAATACCAGTGTGATCAATAACCCATTCTAAAATAATTGCCTAACCAAATTTGCATCCTTTGTTTTAAGTAGAAAGTGCTTTCAAAAAAGGGTTGGTAATGTAAAAGTGGAAAAACCAGAACAGTGTGTACATATGAACAAATTAAGGAAAATGATATAGGGGTGGGGAGAACTGCAAAACTGATGGGTCAATTATTCAAAATAACAACATAGTAATGATTTCTAGGGTAATAGAAATGTGCGGCTTAATGCACTTTGTTCCTTTTTTATGTTCAGATGTTGTTTTGTATGGAGGGACATTTAGTGGATAGAAGACATCAGATTTCTCTCCAGAACATACATACACCTGTCTAAATGTTTGTATGTTATTTAATTTATTAAACAAATTCATATGGACACCCAACTTTCACAGTTATAGAAGTACTTTGAGGTGAACATGCTGATATAAGTAGCAGATAAGCTAGTCTGATCAAGATGTTTAATAGTTTGATTTATACTGCACATCTGAATTGTTTCAGGAGCGCTTTGCATTCAGCGCTCAGAAATCTAGAAAGCAACTGGATTTCCAGGAACATCCACAGACTAGGAATGTGTGCACCCATGTCCGCTTCCTGCTTTCAGCTTTATTTTCTGTTGATGGCCTGAATGGGAAGGCTCTATTTCCCACTTTTTCATATAGGGTAGTGGAAGGATGCATTCAAATGGACAGCTCTCGTTGGTTAAAGGATATTGTATGTTCCTCTCTTTCCTCCCAGAGATCTCTAAATGAAATCTTTGGGGGGCATTGAGCTATATTGTGCAACGAGACAAATTGCATAATAAAAGCCTTGGATGCAAGCATCTGTCTACTGAGAAACATACCCACACAAATAACCAATGAAAGAAAGTACAGTAGCCATGTTGTGGTTAGCCTGTTATGTGTCCTCTGAAGCAGAAAGGATTGAATTTTGGAAAAATGCAGAAGATGGCAACCAAACTGATCAAGGATAAAGAACTGAGTAACTATCAGGAAAAGTTAATAGCTTTGGGATTAGTTCAAAACAAAAGAAACTAAAGGAAGATATGTTCAAGGTGTATAAAATCAGGTAAAGAGGCTACCCCTCAATATAATAGGAACAGGTTCTTCCAATTAGCTGGAAAAGTTACAAGGGAGACAACAAATACTTCAGGCAGCTTGGAATTGCTTATGGAGTTCTTTTATCGTGAGGCATAATGCTGTTGACCACTGCATAGCTTTCAAGGGAGAATCGAGGAAAGCTGTGCTATCAAGTACTCTTACTATTGAAAAAAAGTTTTACCCCCAGATGCCAATTGTAGAGGGGACTATGGAAGGGAAAAAGGAATGCATCATGTCAATCTGATTGTGAAAAACAATTGGCAAGGAGAAACAAGATGTCTCAACCTTGGCAGCTTTAAGATGTGTAGAGTTCTATTTCCAGAATTGTACTTGATTAAGATCGATCTTGGTTTGATCCTGAATGGCTATTCTTTCCAGTTTTGATTTTTACTCTGCATTTTAAGCATGCACAATACTTAATTATCCATTTCTTGATAAAGATTTTTAGGCTGGATCTGGATGGGGAGGAACTCTTAACACTAAATTGATGGACGCATGCCGTAACAGTCTGTCCCTAAGCTTCAAGAAAAATTTAAAGTATGTACACTTCTTCCTCTCCCTCTGTTCTAAGTAATGTTGAAGTGTGCAGTTCCTGATATTTATGAAATTTCAAGAAATACTATCAAAGTCGAGAAAGCCGAAAATATATTTTGTGCATCAGTTTTTATCTTTAGAGGATCAGTTCCCTCTTTGTTTTTAACAAAGAAAGGAGGGGAGGACGACCTTCCTGGATATCTTATTATTTTCTAGGTAATTATTTGTAGTACTTGTAAAACAGTTCGTATCCGTTACCACTTCTGCACATTTTCCAGATCCCCGTTTGGTTACAATCATGGATTTCCTAGTGGTCCCCTATCCAAGTTGGAGCCAGGCACCACCCTACTTAGCTTTTTAAACCATCCCAAGTTGCTGCACCCCGATTTCAATACGAATCCCAAGCTATACTTTCCCCAGTTCGGCGCATGCGCAGCAAAAGAAAAAAATAGACCACCAGACGGAGGGGGTGTTGAGGAAAGCTGCGTGCGAGGATCGAGAATAAGCATGCGCATTCCCGCCTGGGAAAGACTACACCGCCCTCTCTGGCTCCGAATGGCCTACGTGAGGAGCGTCAGGGAGGAAAGGCTCCATCTGCGTGGGTGGGCGGGGCCTCTGCCCCGGCTAGGCGCCAGGCTTCCACGGCGCGTGCGCAAAAGCTCGGCGG